CTCGATTACTAGCCTATAAACAGTTCTGTATAGAACCATTTAACTCTATATTGGAACTAAAACTGAGTTTTTACAGATGTCTCCAACTTTATCCATTCCCACACGGATCATTCCAGCCTCTTCCTTTTATTTAAAAAAAAAAAAAGTGTTCCTCTGTCTCTCTTAGAAATTACGAATTGGATCTACACTCAGGCTGAGCTTTCGGGCCAGGATGTTTCATAGTGGTGCTGTAGTCCCGAGCTGCACAACATCAGGTTGTCTCTTAGTGATGTCAGAAGCCATTATAATTGTTCCTCACCATCCATTTTTTAAATGGTGAGACTTTGATTGGGTGCTTCCCTTTCTGGTTAACCAGAATGCTTTTATACAGGGAAGCTTTCATTCACCACTTGGTAGCTCTAAGGTATAGTCCAACATAGGAGAGGCAGGCAAACACTTAATTTTTTCTCCCGGTACATTGAGGATGACTTGGTCCAACCGACCAGTTATTTCTGACTTTAAGTGTCACTTTGAGCATGGGGCAACTCTTCAGCCCCATGGCGTGGCCAGCTCTGGAGCTCCAGGCTGAATTGCTGGGTAATCTTCCTCATGGCATGGAGAGACCTGGGGACACACATTGGGCCCTTGTAGCAAGCACAGAGCAGTTTGGAGAGGAAGGTCACGCTTGGGGGTGGAGGTGGGGCTGGAGGGCTTCCACAGTCATCCACCCTGATCCAGCTCTGGTCTCCAAGTCACTAGTTCCTGTAGGTTGGTTTCCTACATTGCAGTGGCTTTGGTTTTATAGGGCTTTTCCTCTTGTCGATTTAGAGCAGCTCATGACCTGCCTCCTTAGGAAACCAGGAAGAAATAGAAGAACATGCTGAATCTGGAGACAGAGGCATCCAAACAAACAAACGAAGAAAACTGCTGTCTTTCAGTAGGTTCAAATGACCTGCCTTTAGGGTCATAGCCATTTGCAAACTACTTGTATCACTCTGACTCAGTAGTGGTCCTTGAGTAGAACTGCTGCCTTTGGGTTTCTGGGACTTCAAATTTTTACAGGAATAGACAACCAGGCGTGGCTGGTGGGTTTGAACTGCTGAACTTGTGGTTAGCAGCTCAGTGTCCAACCCACTGCACCACAAGGGCTCCTTTTGGGAAAAGGAACCTTAATCCTAAATCCTTAGAAGCAGACTGTCAAGGAAAGAAACCAAGTACCCTATGAAATGTTATGGGTAAGGAGTATAGCACTGGTTCTCAACACTGGCTGCACCTGAAATACCTCCACTGCTTTGATGCAGGGGTCTGATGTTAGTGGATGCTACCTCTGCTCTGTTGTCCACAGAACTAGGCATGCAAGAGGCTAACGTTAGCTTATCCAAACCCCTACCTCCATCTCCCAGCCCCCATGTGCTGGCCGGGATGAGCCTGGAAGATTTCCAGCCCTCGGGTCTTCAATATAACCCATTGATCTCTGCCCCGACCCTCAACTCGAGAATGACTCCATGTCCTACGCGTCAGGCTCCTAGGTTCAGCACAAGCGCTAAGAGATCGGCTACTAACGAATGGTCAGCAATTCCACCCGCACAGCTGTGCTGCAGGAAAAGCTCGGGGCCTGTCCGATGGTGTCGCGGCATCATCCACTCATGACAGCGATTGGCTTGTTTGCTTTGTTTGTGGCACTGCTATACCCTTGTAACATCCCTGATCGTTCCAGACCACTACCTCAAGCTACTGAGGAACCGAGAGGCTGAAGTGACTTGCCAAGGTCACTGGCCTGTGTTCTGGGGTCTTTCCTAGCAGTCATTCTCATTTGCAGGCTCTGTCTGCTTCATGTCCTCTTCTCCTCGGTGTAATATGAAACAGTGATCCTTGCTCAAAATGCGTGTTGGGTGGGGGGGGGCGGGGGCAACCCCAAATCTCAAGTCCTCATCATCAGGTTACACTTCGCCCCCCCGAGGATGGGATTGCCCAATAAGCAAGGCAAGCATGGGCTTCCTTGTGCTTCCTTATTCATTGGTAGTGAACAATGACACATGGTGTGCACTACGCATGAGTTAAGAAAGCACAAATAAACCGCTGCTTACCTTGCTGGCTGGATAATCTGACACAGCCCTGCTCCTTTTCAAAGCTCCAAGGTTTGAGGGTAAACCTAGACAGTCTGGGGGAAGAGAGGGTGTTATTCTTACTCCTACCCCTCCTCACTGTCCTTCCTGCGGCCAAACGGCTTCACCTCCTCCAGTCCCGCAATGTCTTCCTGTCGTGGGACAACTCCAGCCTCCACTTCCTGTGAACCAGACCTCACCTCAGCTGCCCAGAGGCCATCCCCACCCCAGTGAGAACTGAACTTATACACGACCTCCCCAACTTCTGATCCCCATCTTGAAGAATGAGCTTGCCGGGGACCAGGTACTTTGACCAGACAGAAGCCCAATTCTCTTCCCACGTTTTAGCCCGCCGCTCCATCGCAGGGCACCCCAGTTCCAGCCAGGGCTCCTCTCCGTTCCCCATTCCTCATTTCCTTCCTAACAAACCCAGCAGCCGTGCGGCTACCAAGGAAAGCAAAGCAGCTGTCGCCTCCTGAACACCCGGGACGTTTTCCTAAATGACACCTGCCTCGGGCTGCAGCCCTCCACGTGCGCCCACACCGCCCGACTTCCCGGAAACGCTGGCAGGCGTCGGAATGTGACGTACACGTTTATTCACTGGGCTCCTGGCAGCGGTGGGGCGCTTGCTGAGCCCTCGCCCTGCCCGGCCGGAGGGCGAGTCCCAGGCTCTCAACTTCCTCCTCCGGGCCTGCCAGCCCCGCCCTCCAAGCCAGCCCCGCGACGTCAATGGCCACGCCCCGCCCCTAAGCCCTGCAGCGATTGGTCCTGGGGGCGCGGCCCGGGCTCGGATTGGTCCAAAGTGAGACACCCACACACACCCCCGCCTGCCCGCCCACGTAGGCCTCGGGTGCGTGCGGAAGGCCAGCGTGCAGACATGGCTGGGAATCCCTGGCGGCCTGCAGGTCGCTGGCTAGAGCGGGCCGAGGCCGTGGCCTTGGGGCCCGGCTGGCGGCACGCGTGCCACGCGCTGCTGTACGCACCCGACCCGGGGCGGCTCTTCGGCTGCATCCCGCTGCGTTACGCCGTACTGGTGAGGAGGGGGCGCGCGGCCACGCCCGGCCCCCGCCCCCCGAGTCCGACCCGGGCGCCGTAGCCATTCCCCGCTTCCCTTCCCGCAGATGCAGATGCGCTTCGATGGGCGCCTGGGCTTCCCCGGCGGCTTCGTGGACGCGCAGGACGGCAGCTGGGAGAACGGGCTGAACCGCGAGCTGCGCGAGGAGCTGGGCGAGGCGGCGGCCGCCTTCCGCGTGGACGGCTCCGACTACCGCAGCTCGCACGCCGACAGCAGGCGGCGCGTCGTGGCCCACTTCTACGCCAAACGCCTGACGCCCGAGCAGATGGCCGCGGTGGAGGCTGGCGCGCCGCACGCCAAGGACTACGGGTTGGAGGTGGGGCCAGACTGGAGACCCTCCCACCCCGATCCCTTTGGTGCCCTCTTCCTGCCCCACAAAAATTCCCAGTGACCTCGCCCTACCCCAACGGTCTCCTGGAGTTCTTGGAGCCTTAGCTCAGCTGTAAGTCTCCCGGGCAAGGGCGCCCCCCTCCACGTCTGCCTACTTTATATGACTTCTGCAGTTATGCTTCCAGAAGCTTCAAGTCTTTCTTGCACCTCGTTGGGAATGGCCAGGTCAGGCACCCTGGACCCTTCTAATCATGCCCTGCTTTTCTTGGGTAGATGTGTGCTCTGCTATTGGTTGGCAGCAAAAGGTAGGTGAGCAGGAGTCAGATTCCATGGAAGCCTCACCCCTTGGCAAGTCTCCGAGTCATTGGAGGGCTTGTTAAAATTGTTACCGCATCACAAGGCCCCACTGCTCAAAATTGTTGGCTTAGTAGATTGGGAGATAGCAGCCCCGACTTTACATTTTTTTTCTTCAATCCCCATATTATTTAAGTCTGGGCACCACACTGCAGGATCCCTGGTGGTATAGTGGTTACGCTTTGGGCTGCGAGCCACGTGGTGGGCAGTTCGAAACCACCAGCTGCTCCAAGGGAGAAAGACCAGGCTTTCTACTCCTGGAAATAGTTACAGCGTAAGGAAGCTCACAGGGACAACTCTACTCCGTCCTGTAGGGTCTCAATGAGTCAGCCGACTAGAGGGCAGTGAGTTGTGTGTTGCTTTTCTGTGGGGGTGATACCACACTTTGAGAACCACTGATGGTTCAGAAAAACCTTGGTGGTGTCCTTGTGGTGTAAGGGGTTAAGTGTTGGACAGCTAATGTCGAGGTCAGCAGTTCAAACTCACCTGTCACTTCTGGGAGAAAGAGACTTTCTACTCCTATGAGAATGTACAGCCTCAGAAACCCACAGAGGCAAACGATTCTCCTCTCCTCTGTAGGATTGCTGTGAGTCTGTGGTGGTGAATGTGGTTTTGAAAGTCCGGGGCCAAGCTGTATGCTGGAGGCTAAGGCCACTAGGATTTAAGGGAGTGATGTTGGAAGAATGAACATTTTTTATGTCTTTGAGTCATTTGTTCACAGAGGGTTGGGCCCCTTAGGCTCCATTCAGTTGGGCTAAGGCCTCTGCTCTGCGGAGATCTGGTTGGGCCAAGGGAGGTTAGAGAATGAGCACCCTGGGTCCCAGTATCCCGTCTCCTTCCTTCCACAGGTGCTGGGCATGGTGCGGGTGCCCATGTACACCCTGCAGGATGGCGTGGGAGGCCTGCCTGCCTTTCTGGAGAATTCCTTTATTGGGGTCGCTCAGGAGCAACTGCTGGAAGCCATCCAGAACTTGGGATTAGTGGACCCTGGATCCTTCCTGCACCTTAAGATTAAGACCCCAGCTCATCACTAGAGGCAGCTTTCCGTGGGCCATAGAGCCTGATCTCAGGGTTTGGGCACTAGGTCGGGAGAGAGGGTTCGAAAGAGGACTATTTTCTCTTTGGGGTGGGGTTTCGGGGTGGGGATATGATAAATGGTAACGGGTTAAAAGAAGTGTCAACAATATGTGCTATGCAGAGCACCCCTCCACCCCCACGCCTGTCTTACTCTCTTTCAGCCAATTCATAGCATCAGAGACAAAAGTCACCCCAGGGGTCCTAGCAGACCTAAGATTCTGCCTCTTGGTTTCATGGACACACATATACTACTACCCCCTGCCCTCTCCCACCCCCACATGTGACTGCAAAATCTGCCCACTCACAGGTTCACATTTCCTATTTACCCTGGAAGTGGCAAGGCCGGAGCCTGGCTCGGCACCATGCAATTCTCCCTGCAGAGGGACTTCTGACAGCCCAGGACCCCTTCTCACGCTCCTCTACCTGCTTGCCAGGCTTAGCCCAGCCTGTGCTTGCTGTCAGAGCACAGAAACAAGGACCTTTGCCAAAATACTCCCTCCTTAAAAGGTGAAAGTGGGTCCTAACCAAATCTCTGCCCACTCTTTGCCCTGAAAACTAAGGAGAAGGCATAGGAAGTGGAGTGAACTCCCTGAACTGACCTTGGACCTGAGAACAAAGCTTTCATCATTGGGACCTCTTAGACTGGAGATCTGGAGACTGCTCCAGGGCCAGTCTAGCCCGGGCCTGCCCAAAAGGGCCTTCCAAGGAAGACAGGCTTACAGCTGAACAGCAGGCTCATCAGTACTTAATGTCCCTACTAAATAGCAGGTACTGTATTGACGGTTTGCTGATAGATCCATTGGCCCTATTCTCCAAGTCTATAGCAAAGATCAAAGGTCCTCAAACTTTAAAGGGTCCAGATGCTAAATATCCTTGGCTTTGCAGACCACACACACTCTTTCTCACAACGGTTCAACTCTGCCTTTGTAGATGATCTATGAATGGATGATGATCTAGGAAAAACGTGGATGATATATGAATGAATGAATGTTGCTATGTGCCAATAAAATTTTATTTTGAAAAGCTCATGACCAGTCTCGGCCAATGTCTACCAGCTCTTGCACTAGGAATGTAAGTTAACATCTCTAACAGGGATGCCTCGCTTTGGTTTATTTACGTAAGCGTTGAGGTCATGACATTGAGGAGCAGATAAGGCTCCATCTGAGACAAGAGCGTGGAGTGGTCTGCTCTGGATCTCCATCCTTCATTCCTGGGCAATCCTCCTTGGCATGGAGGGACCTGGTGACAGATACTGAGCCCTCCTGGCACAAGCACAGAGCAATTTGGAGAGGAAGGTCATGCGTGGGGGTGGAGGTGGGGCTGGAGGGCTTCCGTAGACATCCACCCAGATCCAGCTCTGGTCTCCAAGTCACTATGGGGGTTTCCTCCATTGCTGTGGCTTTGCTTTTATAGGGCTTTTCCTCTTGTCGATTTAGAGCAGCTTGTTACCTGCCTCCTCGGAACCAGGAAGAGAGGACAGGCTAAAGCCTGTTGTGTTTTTCATTTGAGTGAGAAGAATCTGAAATGGCCCTCTGACAAGTGTTTGAGCAGAAGCATATTCCAGGCTCGAACAGGCCGAGGAGCTGAAGTGGGCAGAATCCTGGCACGCCACCCCAAACTTAGTGCTTCAGACAACCAGCTGCTGTTTCACATCTCAGGGCGTCGGGGCGGTGTGGAGAGCAGAGATTTGGAAGGGGTTCAGCTGAGTGATTCTTCTGTTTCATGTGGCATTGGAATGTCCTCAAAAGGGATCTGGGACCAGTCTGGGAAGATGGTGTTATAAGTCTGGTACCTGGTGGTCCCTAGGCTCCGCTGAGATGGTTTATGGGAGCTCCGGTATGTGGCGGTCTCAGGGCAGACAGACTTCTTACATGGTAGCTGAGGACTCTTCAAAGAAGCATTCCAAGAGACCAGGGGCAAACTACAAGGACATGACCAGGTGTCTGAAATTCTACAACGTCATTCTTGCCACCTTTGGCTGACCAAGCAAGTCATTTAAGATCGACCCAGGTTCGGTGGGGTGGGATTGGACTCCATCACTCAGTGAGGGGAGTAGCAAAGAAATGGTAACTCTCTTCCCCACCGCATGGTCTAGAAATGTAATGAGCATCAAATGGTCACGAGAGGAGGTGAAGCCGAAGCTAGAAGTCGGGAGCCAGGTGATGCCACAGCCTGCCAGGCAGGGGTGAACTTGGCATGAAATCCACGCCAGTGGCTCAGTGGCGCTTGGGCTGGAAGGAGCCAGGAGTGGAGGGAGCAGGATAGGAAGGTGCCACCTCAGGGCACAGGTGGTGGTGGGTGGGGTGTGATGGTGGCGACCAGGACTTGAGGGGTGGCAGAGATGGGGAGAATATGCAGCCAAACAGGACTTGCCTGTGATGCCGTGGTGCTAAATGCCCACTTGAAGGGGTGTGACACTGAGCACTTTGTCAACCTAGTGTGGCCCAATGCCCTTAAAGTTCAGAGGCGCAGCCAGGAGGGGTCAGAGTCCCAAAGGGACTGTTAGGGTTTTGGAGTGGTTTATACCTCGGTTCCTGCTTCGCCACGCTGAAAGCATTCACGCAGCGGAAGCACTTTCGTAAATCCAAGCAACTTTTCTGAGGAAAGGGAAAGTTTCAGGTCTTCACAGGCAATCCCAGGGGCCAAGAGCAGGAACACCCAAAAGAGCACCCTGAGAGAGTGGCCGGAGAGCGTGCTCAGGCCCCAGGGCCCGGGTGGCACTTGTGCACCCCTGCCCTCCTGACTGCAAAAACGCACAGAACAAGAGAGGAGTCAAAAGAGGCTTTGTCCTCCTCTGACAGGCTCTGATCTCCTCTGGCCAGGGAGGCATGGTTGAAGCCTAAGTTCAGCCGACCTCGTTGGCTGAACTTAGTCCCACCTGGGTGATGTCATGTGGCTGGGCCTATCTGTGCACCCAGGTAGACCTCCCACCTGGGCCTGGTGGGTAGGGGCATGTGTCTGAGCATGCTCAGTTTGGATCTTCCCATAGGTGTCTAATGTGCCTGATTTCTTTCCAACCCCTTTGTTATGGCCCCATGCAGGCATCGGGGAGACAATCCCCTGAGTCCTTATTCTGGCTACGTAACAAGACAGGTACAGAAGGACATTCTGAGGTACCATAAATAGACCTGTCTGATGAGGCCCGTACTTGATGGGGCAGCCGGACACGGAAATGAGAGGGAAAGGGGGCTCCACCCACGTGACTCAGATTGCCCTGGGCTCAAGTTGGGGGTGGTACCATTTGGAGATGGCCCCTGGGGCATCTGTTTCCATAGCTCCACCCCTGAGAGGTGCCATTTCTGTGCTTGGCATAGTGGTTGTTTCCTGTAGCTACTGCTCTGCCACAAGGAGCTGGTGAAGGGCATCGATGGGGAAAAGGAGTAAAGGCCGACGGAGGTTCTGGCTGTCGGTGAAGGAAAAGCCTTTGTGGATGGTGTGAGCAAGCTTTTCAAGGGGCCGGGACCAAGAATGTGAAGTGGGACAAGCAGAGCTAGCGTTTGTGAGTCACTGGTATAAAAACCAAACCACTCGTCATCCAGTCAATGCTGACTCACAGTGACCCTATAAGACCGCGTGGCTGCCCCTGTGTTTCCGGGAGTACACAACCTGCCTGTCTGGGGAGCAGCTGGTGGCTTCCAACTTCTGGCCTTGTAGCCAGCAGCCCGCAACGAAACCACACCACCACCAGGGCTCCTGTTCAGTGCCTAAAACGGGTGGAAACATGGGAACAGGTGAGGTGATCTAAGAAGAGAAAGATGCCGACTTGGACAACACCCTGAGGTGAGGGAGTCCCACCCTGGGAATCTGGGTCCAAGAGGGAGACACATTCAAGGAGACCAAGAGTTGAGAGGGAGCTGCTAGGAAAACGGATGTGCGGAGTCCTGGTGAGACTATCCGTGAAATGAGGACAGGACTGTCCTTTGGGCTTAGTAGCCTGCAATTGTTGACCTCGATGGGAGCAGCTTCGAGAAGAGGAGGGCACAGAGGCAGACAGTAAGAAGTAAGGGTATGAACGGGAAGTGGGTACTACACAGCAGAGTGATAACCAAACGGGTGTGAGACCCTGGGAAATGTTTAGAGTCGTAGGAATTGATAGAACCGTCAGTCCTGAGCCAGTCGGTGCGATGTAACAACGATGGAAAATACAACTTTCCTCTAGTTCCTAAATGTTTCCTCCCTGCTCCCACTACCATGACACGAATTCGACCTTGCAAGTCTGGCTAGACCAGAGGATGACACTGGTACAGATAGGAACTGAAAAACCCTGCAGCAGGCAGCAGGGTGGGTCAGCCACAGTCAGTATCTCAGGAGCTTGGCAAAGCAGGCCCTGATGGGATCTCGAAGTCAAGCATGGTGACAGGATCTACCAGCCTCAAGCTCTAGCAATGGACGCACCAGCAGGTCTCAAAGGAGCCCCAAGCTCTAGCAACACGATCCATGAGTTGGCTTAGCCCACAGGTAGTGTAACACAGGTGAGGCAGAGAACTAGCTAAGGCAGCAGCACCCTAGTCGAATCACTGGGGAGCAAGAGGGAAATATGCCTGTTGTCTTCATTTATTTTGCTCATCCTCCATTCAAGCCTTGACCTGATTAAACTCTGCCCACATGTTCCTATTGGCCAGGATGGTACAATAAACCAGTGATAAGGGCCAGGTAAATTTCTAGAGAGGTTAAGTGCTCTGTCTTCTTTCTCTTCATTTACCCATGAGTCTTTTGTCAAATTCTTTCTAGAGTTAACTCCGGGAGAGGTAGGCTGTGGGGATGGACATGTGAGTGTCCCAGGACCCAGCATTGCCCCCGAGGCTTCAGTTCGTCTCTGCAAGAGAGATGACTTGTTCACAAAGTTACCACTGACAGGTCCCTTCCTCAGGGTTCCTCCTGGGCAAATCTGCATCCAAAGCTCATTCTCAGATATCATGTCGCCCCACCTGCTTGACTGTCCCAGGGCTGTCTCAGGGCCTCCCGGGCAGTCCAGCCATTGCTGACCGTCTTATCTATGTGAGTTTATATTCCTTTTGCATATATTTTTAAATCTCTGTGAAAGGTCTGGAGGAGGTGGCCACAACCTCCCTATGTCATACCACAAGCACATGCTTCCCAGTCTCTTCAGAGAGCCCTGAAATAAGTTGTGTTGCCTTGTGGTGCCAGCTCAGCCCAAGGCCCTCCTGGGGCAGGGGGGTGGGGGTGGGGTGG